AGTCCCACAATAAGACGAAACGGCCATCCAGTGCTTCCAGGTTTTTCTTGGTGGTCTAGCTTCAATTGACTCATGATTTCAACTATGAAAACTTTAATCCTATATGATATTATGTGTGCTCATCTCATTGAAAAATTCTCAGACTGATATTTCTTGAAATTCAGTGTTTAATGGTTGAAATCGGTCTACGAGAAACTTTGTTAGACCTAAGTATCATGTTATTTGGCATTGATTAGCAAAGTGAGACTGATTATATAGAATTTCAGCGAGAGTATCATCTATGGCCGAATCAATCAGATTTAAGATAGAAGATATTGGATTATGGCGAGGAATTCATTCACTCATTTGACCAAATACCATTTTGGCATCTTAAGTGATGTTAATTCGTTATGAAAACCTAAAACTAATTCCTCACACTAATATATAACCCTCATTTAACCCTTGTAATTAGGTAAAGCAAAATACTCAACATTCACTGCCCGGATACCATCACCAATAGGCTTCTGTGGGAGAGGATGAACCAGCTTCCAGATGAAGAGGAAATGAGGAAAAGACGTTGGAAGTGGATGGAACATACATTAAAGAAATCACCGAACTGCATCACGAGGCAATCCCCAACTTGGAATCCGGAAGGGAAGCGGAAAAGAGGAAGGCCAAAGAACGCATTATGTTGGAAAATAGAAGCAGATATGAAAAGGATGAATAAAAACTGTAAAGAACTGGAAAGGATTGCCCAAGACAGAGTTGGATGGGGACTGTTGGTGGGCGGCCTATGCTCCTCCACGAGGGGTAACAGGCTTAAGTAAGTAAGTAATACTATTTCCGTTCATAATTAAGGGATGAGTAGATAATTAGCCATAAGATATGCGTTTGTATGTATCTCAAATATGTACTAAAAACTCATCGATTTAACAGTATTATGAATTAGACAAGTGAATTCCACTGACACACACACGTACACACACTAATGTACATAACCGTTGGTTACTAATTAAATGTCAACATTGGAGATGGTAATCATGTTGATGACGTCATTATCTTTCATGGTTGTTTAAATGGTAACAACAACAAATTATTCAGGCAAATGATTCTCTAGGAGAAAGTTATCCTTTTATATAAGGAGTGAAATCTTATCCTACTTCTTCTGATATATGTCTAGACAAAAAAAGTATGTCACTTTGATTGTTTCTATCTTGTTAATCACTAATTTGTAACTATCTGATATATCGTGATTTTTAAACAGAGAAATTTATCAGGAAAGATGGATAGTGGTCAAAATTGGAATCCAGGCTAATGCGCGTTTTGTTCTATTTGGGACTCGTTCAGCTGGATGTACCTGGATCTCAGACTTGATGATCACTTTGAGGCTCAAACGCAGTACCATTCGCTTCAAGAGCCATCGCGTTATCATCCCATTGCACAAGCAAGTGGTTATCAGGACTTAGTAGTTAAGTGGATAACGTGATGTCATTTGAAGCGAAAGGTACTGGATTCGAGTCCCAGAGTGAGCATCAACAAGTGAGATGTGGCAGGTACATCCAACTGACGAGTTACAAATAGAACAAAACGCGCGTCAAACTGGATTCCACTGCTAGCCATTTACCATCTTTGCTTATAAAGCTTGAGGCTTCAAGTAATATCGAAGTAGTTCGTACAGGATGCACATATGCTAACAAGAGACTGATCGATTGCAGTCTTAAACAACAATGGGAAGATACGAGTAAACAACACCAAGAGAATTTTATGATATTAACTTTACATGTATGTTCATGCTATAAAATGGTTATATGAAAAGCGAATTTTACTAAATGAGTAAATTTAACAAAATATGAAATAATATCCACTAAACTCCTTTTAATATTATTCAACATATGCTCACTAGTCACTGGCTTCAAGAGGTATTTCCTGGAGTTCTAATGAGAAGCAGTGACCAGTGGAGTTCAACCAGGCCTGTTGTGAGATAGTAACTCACTGAAGACAATGATGGATGCATCATTAAATTTCGTGGATTGGTTGAAGTTAGACATTAATATCGTTGGATGCCGGATAGCTCAGTGGTATAAAGGTTAAGCGCTCGCGCGTGAGACTGATAGGTCGTGGGTTCGAATCTCGTGAAGCAGGATTGTGAATACGCACTGCTGAGGACAGAATGGATATCCATTGCTTCCAGGTTTTACATGGTGGTCTAGCTTCAATTGACACACGATCTCAACCATTGAAATATGAAATAGTAGGTTATCAGAAAGACGGTTTGGGGGACTATTGAATTTAGTTGTAATTAAAAACTGAACGAAATTAGACAACTATAAATTGGCTTATGATCTCAATGAAAGTTAACATTATCTACAAACGCTTACTGTTAGTTACCATGTGCTCTCTAGTGACTAGCTATCAGAGAAGAATCCATGGAACTAAATCCTAATGCATTTGAAGGAATACCATCCTTAAAGACACACACACATACGTAATTAGTACCTGTTTTTAAGGGGGAAATCATTACAACCACAAGGTCTTGTCACCCAAGCATCGCATAGCATACATATCTGTAAACTTATCCCTTGAAAAAATAGATGGATTTATTGCAACATTGAAGGAATTGATTTCAAAAACTACCATCATTCATTAACGGATCTAAATACTCTACAAGGGACATATTTCGATTCTTATCAATTAAGAAGGATCATACTAAGTAAAGATGTATAATATTTACAGAAGACCATCGAATCCGTTTTACGGTCAATTACAATAATCAACGGTCTACTTACATTTACATCAGTATTGTTCAAAACAATTATATCAACATATATCAAACGGATCCATTCGATTATACAGAATATCATCTATTCTATACAACATGATTACATCATTCATAACTATGGTTTAGATTAACTCATTACTATGTTATGCAATCATTATTACATAACTAGGCATCCATCCATACTCATACTGAGTATATGGATCATAATGGAACATAATAATTCGAGTGCATAGGTGTATAGAACAAATGGTATATCATTTATTGATTGATAGACAATTATGTAATACGAATCAAAATAGTGTGACACTTGTAAATTGTAAGTTATGAGAATGTCATCACTATGACACAATCATCATCATCGACCTCATCGACATATTCTACACGACGATTCATATTTTCAAATATTTACGTACTCTCTAATGAATTTGATAGCCATAAAGATAACTATGACTATTTATGTTAGTAATTCGGGGTGTTGCATAATGATTATGAAGGTATGAATGATGCATGGGTCCATTTATATGTGTGTGTGACCCATGTACTTGTGAAGATCACTAAACAACAATAAACATCAGAGGAGGTGAATGAAGATGTAGATATCTACTGAGAACATACTACCATCGTCAGTTATGTAATCACACTACACTCATTCATTCCCTATCCTATAAAATATAATCGATTATTAGACATGGTGATTAAAATGTGTGTTGATCTGTTCCTCCACCATAGGTGTACACACTGAAATGTACCCATAAAGTGTACACGTTGATTATATCACATTCCCCAATGATACTATTATTATTATTATGATCAATCTCAAATGAAAAGGTTAATAAAATCATATTGGGAACTTTTTTAATTCAATTCCATAAATGGGGAGAATGTTCATTCGCACATATATTGGGAAGTATATTGATTGTATACGTTGACTAGAACAAATTGGCTAAAAGATTGATATGCATCAATAGAAGGTTCGCCAAGATGACTAAGTCGAACTTCGGTTTCACCGCAAATCAATGTGTGTCACAGTGTCACTGCAGATTGATGTACTTGAAATGTTCTGTTGGAGTGATTGATTTGTAAATGAATTCTGAGTACTAGAAATACTCCATTTTACTATTGAACTGATCAACTGTCTATCTAACTACGTTTTATGACGTCAGCTTATCAACTAACAATCAGGGATGAAATAAATCACAAGTGAAATCAAACTCATAAATTGTTGTGGTGTCCACAGGACTTGTGGGATTCGTCTAATGAACTAACATTACCGATCAATGAAGATCAGACTAATCCATTACTTTATCGTGATATCCTATTAACAAGGCATCCCTGCTGACAAATACACGGACGCACATGAATGAACGGCCAATTAAGATGAATTATAAATGAGCATATTAGCACAATGTTGATCAAACAACAACATCAAACAGAAAGATAAAACACTTCTTCAAACTAGTGAGTACAGAACAAATATTTCGTTCTAGTAAGAGATCACTTAATAGTGTAGATACAGGACTCCATTGGTAATAGAACCATTTGAGCTGGGAGATGAACTTGAAACACTGGAGACCATCTTGTAATTTTAATTACAACACCAGTCGTAGCTGTCTCATTATTAGACAAGACAATTGTCACGTTCACTATGATTTTCAACGGTATGCCAAATGAGATCCATACATATCGAATGTAACCTACACATTATGTCGACATCCGCTAAAACCCGTCAACGAAATTCTTTATCTTACCATATAAATGTCATCAAACTGTTCAACTTATAAATATTCTCGTTTAATCAACAAGTGAGTGGACACTAAATTGATATAACTCATAACAACCCCTGATTATCTGATTTCAATCAGCTATCATAAACATACACACACACATGATTACTCTATTCCTAATCACCACATGAACATACTCCTCATCATCCTCTCAATCTGTCAAGTCACATTATCTAGTTAATTATCCAACACCCCATATTCAATTACGTGTCCAATTAACCATCAAACATAAAACAGATTCTTCCAACATTACTGTTCACTTAATTTATCAAGTCATTTCTCACTGTCAATGATCATTTTCAACATGTTGATTATAACAGATTTCAACAGATTCTTCTTCCCTTTCACTGTTGTCATCGTCATCAACCTTCAGGATAATTGTCTATTCATCATTTCAACAGTTTTCCTGCAACTACTCATTAACGACAACAACACGACACCCACAATGTCGAACGTGATCATAATTCCATTGATTCAGATGATTGATTTGTGACTGCCTTCACTATGAATGGATTAATAATTGTGTTTGAGTAAGTGTCATAGTGTAAACATAAGTGATTAATTTGTTTATTAGGTTCAATAAGATTACGTAATCCATGTTCATCATGATCATTCATTATAAGTAGTATGTCAAAACTGAGAGTAACAACTTGATTTGACATAATGAATTGATGACTTGAATAAGTTGGTGGTTTTATCACTTCTTCAAATAATGCATACTCTAATATTTTGAATTTAGTGGAACTTCTCCACCCAAGTGTTATCATAACCACACTGACACACACAGAGGGTGGAGAGATTACCAGACACCAACACACATGAAAAAGCACATTCACACACATACACATTCACTGGTATAATTAAGGTAGAAACGAAACATGGATATCATTTGAAATGCTGAATTTGTTTCCGTGTACAGAGATTAAAATGACAAAAGTATCCAATGGTCAAATCAAATCAGATCACAACATGTCGCACGCCATTAAAAATGTATGTTGATATACATGAATGAAGGAGAATATTGGAATTAAAATATTCTCACATTACCAACATTGATGATGATTTTCTTTGAATTACATGATATGATAGGAAATGTGGTTTACTTTAAAGAGACTATGTGATCATTAGCAGAGCATAGCATTGACTATATAACTATCATTGTGATTATTTTCATAATTGAAATGATGAGTCAATTGAAGCTAGATCAACATGGAAAACCTGGAAACACTGGACGACTGTTTCATCCTATTATGGGACTCCTTAGCAGTGCATATCCACGATGCCACCTCTCGAGATTCGAACCCAGGGCCTACCATCTCCTCTGTCCACTCGCTGAATACAATTGGTGAATGGCTGATCAAACTTCGTGGATTGGTTGAAGTTAAACATTAACACCATCGGATGCCGGTTCAGTGGTCTGTCGGTGAGGTGCTCTGGCTCGAGACTGGTAGGTCCTGGGTTCGAATCATTTGAGGCGGGATCCTATATACGTACTACTGAGGAGTCCCTTAATAGGATGAAGTGTCCGTGCAGTGTTTCCCGGTTTTCCATGATGGTCTATCTTCAATTGTCTCATGATTTCAACTATGAAAATACTGAAATCTCCACAAAAACCCTTTCTATCTTTGTTAGCTTAATATGAAGATAATGAATGATGCTAGTCAAATCATTATTCGAATGTGATGAAAGAAACCAGCCAGTGATTATTTCAGTTTCTATGAATCCATGCCAATCAACCATATTCCATCTAACCCATAGTGTCATTTATGCGAGACATATTAGTGGTTGCATAACGGAATATATGTAAGTGGATGAATTGATTCAGCTTTGTGCAGAGAATAAATATCAACAACATCGACAATACTTCATTATGAATTCAGACATATATACAACCTTAAGTTGTAAAATTATTTGCACACTGTCCAAATATTAGTATCGGTAAACTACTCATAACGAATATTTCAGTAGTATAAATAAAGAAAATTGTTAAAGTTGAAAGCGTGAGTCAGTTGAAGCTCGACCACTAATGAATATCTGGAAACACTGGACGGCCGTTTCGAACTATCGTGGGACTCCTCAGCAACGCGCATCCACGACCCCGCAATCGCGAGATTCGAACCCAGGACCTACTAGTCTTGAGCCAGAGCCCTTAACCGATAGACTACTGAGCCGATCGACATCTGATGGTGTTAATGTCTAACTTCTAGTGAGAAGCAGTGACCAGTTTAGTTCAAACCAAGTCTGTTGTGAGATAGGAACTCATTGAAGATAATTGGTGAACGGTTGCTCAATTTCGTGGATTGGTTGAAGTTAGACATTAACACCATTGGATACCGACCTTCTTAGTGGTCTGTCGGTGAGGTGCTCTGGCTCGAGACTAGTAGGTCCTGTGTTCGAATCTCGCGAGTGCGGGGTCGTGGATGCGCGCTGCTGAGGAGTCCTGTAATAGGACGAAACGGCCGTACAGTGCTTCCAGATTTTCCATAGTGGTCTAGCTTCAACTGACTCAAGCTTTCAAATATGAAAATACTAAATCTCCACAAAGCCCCTTCTGAATATTGTTAAAGGTTTAGGAGTGGAAATCCAAGTTCAATTAAATCATGAAGTAAATGGTCAAAGCCAATGATTCCCCTCTCATAATTTTACCGTACATATTATCTGACACTTTCACCCCCTCTACTCTATACCAATAACAATAATAATAATAATATTCACTTCCCTTAACAACGAACGAAACAGTGAATATGATGAATGTATATTATTACACATCCATCATAACGCGCATAAACACACAATCACCTGTCTCCTATTTCTCATAATACTAACCTATCTGATTACATACATACACAGTAATGTTCCATATAGTCACATTGAAATGTACAAAGATAGATAGGTAGGTAGGTAGATGGATAGATACAGATTCCCAATAATTGTATTGTTCTATACTGTTCATTTCTACTAGACTGACTGGCTGACTGACTGCCTCACTGACTGCCTAATTGACTGCCTCTCTAACTGACTATCAGACAATTCTACCATTGTTTTCATAAATGAATATGAATAATAATTCATCCATTCATAATATTTTGCATCATTGACTATAACTATGAATTGACCAATAATCAAATGGCGATTTAATTCTGATAGAGTTTATCATAATCAGTCTTCAATTTGAATACAACACCCAATTGATTGGTTGTTGTTCGTGATTTGTAGGTGTGATAATGCTGAATATCAGTAGTATATTCCTTGAAATAATTGACAGAATATGATTGAATATCTTAGGATAGATGTACAGTGAATGGTTGATGGTGTTGTGTAATGAATAACTAATAGGTTTGGATTTGATTGGGTAGACAGGTGGATATATTAAGTGAATGAACACATTGATTCGAAATGGTTTGACAGTGGTCGACCACATCACGGATTGAATACACAGACTTCCAGTTGCATGGAGTATAAAGGGCGTCTGTAGACCTGTTGTAATGTAAATCAAGTTGTTTGATGAAAGAACCGAAATGACTAGTTGTTCTGACACAATGATGACAAGTTCAATTTTAGTCTGATTATTTCCAAGTTGAGAGAGACAGTGTGTGTGTGTATCTGTTGTGGACAGTTATCAGTTCAGTGTAGCTAACTAATGGTAATGATGATGAATATACAGTTGAGTGATTTAAACTTCCTTGTTTGGTGAGTAGATTGATTGACTATTATACAGTAGTTTACCTAACAGAGTAACTACACCAAGAAATTTATTAGAAACTGGGAAGTACTTAACTACTGTTTCTTACTATTGTGAGACTCCTAAGCAGTGTGCTATCATGGCTCCTCCATGAGCGACATTAAAACCATATGTTCACTCACGAATAATCTGATGACTTGTTTAACACTCACTAGTTTCTGAAATCACTCAGCGGTTGACATTGATTTTAGTAGTTCGTCGGTCAGTGATAAACAACCTACAGTCGGACACACATATGTGCACCAATTACATTTGACAAAGCAGATCAACACATGAAGATGAAATTATCATGACCAATGTCAGAGTATTTGAATTGGTAATAGAATCATTTGTAGTGGAATAGATTAGACAAAGACAATGAGAATTCTAAACACAATCTCTACACTGATAGAATTGATATTGATATTTTCACTAATGTTGCTTACTAACCCTTTTTAAGGTTAAGTTCATCACTGACATTTGCCTAGAACAGCACCTTTTCCATCTAATAGTATTTCTGAGATTGACTTATATGCAGGAGATTCACTTTTCGATTTTTAATAAGCATCTTACTCAATCTTGTTTGATAAAGATACTGACATAATGTAGAGACTTCTGATCTTCATGAGTAACAATATGTACAGATTTGGTATGTCATTCAATTGCCCTGAATCCAAAATGTCACTTTACAGTTAGTCTAGGTTAGCACTTGAACTAATGATACTGGGTAAACCACTTGATTGTGTCGACTGCTTTACTTATCTCGGTGGTCCCACTAGTCCTGATGTGTTGGTATTTGAAGCAACCTCAATATGTGTTGAGAAACCTACTTTGACTTTTTCCTACTAATGTCACTAATCACTTAGTCATGTTACCCATCTGGCAACCGAGGAACACGTATAATGTAAGGCAATACACCCTATTTTACTCTATGTCTCTGAAACATTGTCTGTTAAAGTGAAAGATTAAAGGTTTTTTGACCAATAATGTCTTTGAAGTATTGTTCATATATCATAGGGCGACGAGGTTATCAATGTCGGCATTCGCTATGATGGTAAACCGTTTGTTCAGGTTGTAAATCTTCATCAACTGAAGTGGTCAGAACATGTGATACATATGCTTTACTACAAATCAAATCAACAAATAATATTCACCTGTGTGAAAGTAGGTTGGAACAAAACCATAGATAGTAAGTAAACCATAGAGGTGGCATTAATTCATGAAATTACTGACTGTTGGTATCAACCACATAGGTGAATACAGATTACCTGGTTATGATCAATACAACAACGGAGATCAGTAGCTACAGACTTCCAGTGATATGGATCAGAATCGGTTACAATAGTGCAGAGAGATTCATTATCTATCCTCCCCCTCCTCCAACAGATCTTGAATTCTGATGTTCCATCATGCATACCTTGTCAATCTGTCCACTTGAACAATACTTTAAACATTCACACTTTATCAGCATCGTTGGTAGTACAATATTTCGATCACTGTTTTACTCGGACTGTAGTCACACATCATAATGTGAAAATAGATGTAACCGTTTAGGATACTACAAGAAGCAACAGTTTCACCTCCTCCGAGAATAGGGGTACCGATTAATGACAAACAACAAATCACATTAAGTCTGTGTCCATTAGTACAGTATATCCTCTCGACCAACTTCAACAATCTACCATCAAAATACAGTACACACAATGACAAATCACTTGAACTAGTGACTATATTTTAACTTGATCAATAGCACTCATAAAACACCAAACACAAGACAAGTGTAACATCAACCACTACTCAGTGGTCAGTTAACATTCAGTCGTAGACATTATTCAATGATTCTACAACACAACTATTTCATGTTCACACTTTATATAACTAGAATTATCACTATTGTAAGTAAAGATGGATAGTGGCTAGCAGTGGAATCCAGGACGCGCGTGTCGTCCCATTTGAGACTCGTCAGCTGGATGTACCTGCCATATCTCAGACTTGTTGATGTTCACTCTGGGACTCGAACACAGGACCTTTCACTTCAAACGCCATCACCTTATCCATTCAGCTACTGAGTTCTGATAGTCACTTGCTTGTGCAATGGGGTGAAGTTTAAATTCACTTAGTATTACTTCTTTGAATCTTCACTATTATCATTATTATGATTATTTATATAAAAGTGACCAAATCCAAGACATACTCACACACATCCACACCCACTCTCTCCCCCCCCACACACACACACGCACACTTTCGATTATATTCGTATTGTTTGCACCAATAAAATCATTGATGCATTAATCGAAATGAATCAAATTAGGGTGTTTAACCTGAGTACAATGGTAACTAATTGATTTCCGAACACCATAACAACAACAACCACATGGATACCAATCATTATTATCATCATTCAAAGAGGGAATAATTTTGATTGATTATAAACTCCATGGATAATTCGTTAATCCTAAACTTTCCTATCACTTCATTAATAATCAATTAGATAGTTTGATTCACATGTTCAATCACTATTGCATCACTCCACCTTAACATTATTCAATCACTTAACAACTTATACTACTTGCACACTCCCTATTGGCTTCACTTCACTTCTCCATATGATGATGATGATGATGAGGTTGATATGAGTAGTATATATCCATTTATTATAATATACAAAACAGGTTACTCTCTTTCATCTCACCTCAATAAGTGAAAGGATAAACAAAGTGTTGCTATTTGTATGTTCATAGTTGAAAAAAGAAGATCGTCAACCAGTTAGTTGATGATGATGAAGAAGAAGCCAACTGTATTGAAGATCGTGAAGATGGGGAAGAAGGAGAAGATGAAGAAGAGAGGAGAGAGAATCACTTCATGTTTCATTTAGTTATTGATGCAGAAATTAAATTAAAAATTTCATTTCAACATTCAATTGGATTATTGTCCTTACTATTCTCAATATTGATTATTATTATCATTATTAATGTTATGGTGATTATCATCATCACCCCCATCGCCCCCCCCATCATCATCATGGAAGCCTCTTTTTTAAATAAATAAAAAATGAAAATTGAATATTTGATGAGTAGATAATTGAACTTTTAATCCCCATACGTATAGAGTTAGTCAGCTTATTTGTTTGCTCTCTTGTTGGTGTTATGTATGTACACACACACACACACACAGAGGGACACCTTACATATACATGTGCACATATCTACAAAGAAAGAAGTCGGTAAACATTCAACTTGTCTTATTGAATCACTTTTTTTTATTCAAATGACTTTTGCCAAAATAATTTGCTAAAAATTATCTATTCAATAATAATAGATGCTTTCATGGTTATCATTATAGCGACTATTAATGGTAGTAGTGACCAATGGAGTTCAACAGATTCTGTTGTGTGGTGGTAACTCACTGAAGATAATGTTGAACAGTGGCACGATTTCGTGAATTGGTTGAAGGTGGACATGAACACCGTTAAATACCAGCCAACTCAGTAGTCTAGAGGTTGAGTGCTCGCGTGCGTAACCGCTAGATCCTTGGTTCGAATCTCGCAGAGCGGGATCGTAGATGAGCATTACCGAAAAGTTTTATACTTAGACGTAATGGCTGTTCAGTTCTTCCAGGTTATCCATGCTATTACGGCTTCAACTGACCCATTGAAGACAATGGTGGTCAGTAGCTCAATTTCTTGGATTGGTTGAAGTTAGGCATTAAGACCGTTAGATACCAGTCTGTACAGTGTTCTAGAAGTTAGGCGTGTGCACTTGAAACCGAAAGGTCATGTGTTTGAACCTCACATGGAGGGATTGTAGATGCGCACTGCTGAGGAATCCCAGACTAGGACGTAACAGCAGTCCATTGCTTCGAGGTTTTCCATAGTGGTCTAGTATCAATTGACTCATGAATTCGACTATAAGCTTACTCAAATCTCCATAAAACTACACTCTGATTAATAACTATCATAAGAAAACGATATAACTCTATTCACATTTGATGAAAGTTTTTCAATCACTTTCACATTATTTAATTCAATGACAAATTTTTTATTAGTAGTATATACTTAATAAGTAGTTTCAATTATCTCATCAGTCTTATTTGTTTTCAACTATCATAAAACACATTAATTATCACTATGATTAATGGTTGTATTCACATGTATCATCATTAACTATGGAGAGATGATACATTCCATGAGTTCCATATTAGATCACAATCTGTTTATTGTGAGTATGAGTGTGTGTGTGTGTGTGGGAAAGACAGAGAGGGTAGTAAGAAGTAACACATTCACATTTTCAGATAGATAGATATTTAGATGGATGGATGGGTTGAGGGATGGAGGAGTGTAGTGACACGCGAATTCAAACTGATGATTATATTAGATACATTGATAATTATTACTTGTAATAATCATAATGTGTGTAGGTACATTGTTAAAAGTGATTATCTTTTACATGATTCAAAGTCATTTATTATTAATCTAGGGGTTTTGGAAATTATTTCGTTTTAATTGTGATCGTGAACCGATCAACGTTAGATCACCATTGAGTATGTGGAAGCACTGGATGGCTGTTTCATCCTATTGTGGGACTCCTTAGACAGGTCTGTTGTGAGATATCAACTCACTGAAGACAATGGTGGATATGTCGCTCAATTTCGTGGATCGGTTGAAGTTTGACATTAACACCGTTGGATGCTGACCGGCTTAATGGTCTGATAGGTCGTAGGTTTGAATCTCGTGAGGTGGGATGGTGGGTGTTCATGACTGAGGGGTCCTAAACCAGGACGAAACGGCCGTTCAGTACTTCCAGATTTTCTATGACGATCTAGCTTCAATTGACTCATGATTTCAACTTTTTTCATTATGACTAATAGATGTGATATCAGTTTGAATTTTCTCAGAGAATTCTATTCATGTTTCCTATTGACATAATAATTTGATTCATTTTCTATTGATTTTGTCATATTCACCATCCATTCTCTCACTTCAATTCATTATAGATTTAACAATTTGTAACCAGTTCACACTTAACAACTAATTCTGTGTTATACAACTACTACTACCAGTGTAATATCACATGTCAACATTGGTCAACACTCCTTATAATCTTCTCCCCCATTTCGACAACATACTCACTTCCTACATACACTTTATCATCATCATCATCATCATCATCATCATCATCATCATCATCATCATCATCATCATCATCATCATCATCATCATCATCATCATCATCATCATCATCATCATCATCACCATCACTGTCCTCATCAACATGTTGAATACTGTGGAATATTCGAATTAATGGAACAAACAGAATTTACTTATCAATCATCAGTTGAATGTATATTCAAATCGGACGAAGACAGTCACTATCGTCTCCACTGTTTTTTTTAACCACTTCACATAACACATATAAACAGTAGCAAATTCATTACAGTTTCAATGGGACTATTAGTAATTTATTCTTCTAGTCTATTTATAATGAAATGCTCACATTCAATCATCTTGGTCATCTACAACTATACTCCCAATATTCATCTGATTCAATTCCATCTTCTACCACTCATTCCCACACACCACACACACACACACAATGTGAGGAAGAGGAGAAGATGGATAGAGACATATTGGCATTGACCATTCCTTGATTAATAATCTACTAAACGCAATAGGATTAAATTTATTATTGCCCAAAGATATTATGCAAACTGTTTCACACTTTTGATGAATGGAGAATTTGTTTGTCTGTATGTGTGAATGATGCTGGTCATGCTGCTACTGCTACTCCTACTGCTGCTGCTGCTGCTGCTGCTAATATAAATATGTAACCAACCCTTCCTCTTAAATGGAATTTTCTCAGAGGGATATCATTTTATGGTTTGTTTGTTTGTTCTTGTGAATATATTACTTATATCCATTTAAGTAGAATTTAGTTCCCATAGTGTTTTTTAATGAACTCAATACATCTATATATTTCATTAATGAATATTCAATATAGATATGAATATATCAGTATAATTGTATTTGTGAGTAGTTTTTAAAATGAGTAGTATAGATGGATAACAGTTTGTTTTGAAAGATAATCATTGTAGCTACTCTTCCACTAACACACACACACACTTGTTATCAGTCTTAGTAAAGGAGATATCAACGCAACATATATGGAAGTAGTAAATTTATCCGATATAAGATGATAAATTGTCAGTATCATTATAATTAGTATATAATGAAGTGAAATCTATCATTAATTGTTATCTATAGGGTGCCAAAATTATAGCTAAAGGGGTTAAATCATTAATGAACTATATATACATATTGTCTACAATGCAATAATAGAAAACAGAGATATATCCTAATTATGTAGTCAATTATAGATAGACATATAAATGATTCAATAGTTGAATGTTTATTAACACTGTTGAATGCCATCTGGCTCAGTGGTCTAGTGGTTAAACGCTCGAGCGCGAGGAGTGATAGGTTTTGGGTTCGAATCTCATGAGGCGAGATGGTGGATGAGCAATGCTGAGGAGTTCCACAATAGGATGAAACGACCTTGTGTTATTGATGTTCTGGACTTAACTGGCTAAGCTAGGTAGAAAGCAGGACTGACGAGTACTCAAGACTGCTCATACGGATTTTTGTGTATCAGTGCTCTGATCGATAATTTGCTCTTCTCTCATTGGCAGGAATCAGCACGTTCATATACCAACATGACACGTATGCACTCAGTCGATATAACAACTGGGCACTGGCACGATATAACACCTTGCCAGTGCATCCAGTTTTTCCATAGTGGTCTAACTTCAATTGACTCATGAATTCAACTACATAATACTTTAGTGATTTGAAGTTCTAATTATGAAGTGATTCTATTTAAAACATTATTGTAAACCTAGAATTATTATGAATTTCACAAAAATGTAGATCTATAAATATGTAGTCATGAATCGAACTAGAAACCTACAAGTGTCAGTTAGTTATCCACCTCAGGTTAGGAACTACTGTCGTGCAATATCATGAATTGATTACATGTAGACATGTATATTGTTGGATGCCAAATCAGTGATATAGATATCAAGAATTCACAAGTGATTTCCAGATTAGGAGTAGTGGTTGCGCACAACCACTAAGTTAAGACATTAAGAGATAAAAGAGCCATCCAGTGGCTATTAATTTTCAATGGTTCTCTAGCTATGATCAATTCATGATCAAAGCTAGAAATTTTCTATAATCTCCAAAAAATCCCTATTCAAATGAAATGATTTCAAACTTAATGAGTAATGAACAATATATAAGATAAAACTACTGAAGAGTCCTAGATAGAACGAAACATGCATCTTGAAAATACTTCAGAGATTAATTATCTGAAGGGGCTTTTGTGGAGATTTAGTATTTTTCATGGTTGAAATTGTGAGTCAATTGAAGCTAGACCACCATGGAAAACCTGGAAGCATTGGACGACCGTTTCGTCATATTATGGGACTCCTCAACAGTGCCCATCCACGATCCCGCCTCACAAGATTTCAACCCAAGATCTAACAGTTTCGCGCAAAAGCACTTAATCTATAGAACACTTAGCTCATCGGAATCCAACGGTGTTAATGGTTAACTTCAACCAATCCACGAAATCGAGCAATCATTCACGAATGTCATCAATGAGTGGATATCTCATAACAGACCTGATTGGAATCCACTGGTTACTGCTTCTCACTAAAACTCCAGGAAATACCTCATGAAGCCAGTCACTAGTGATAACATGATCATTATGAGAAGGGGTTTTGTGGAGATTTTAGTTAATTTAATATCAAATCTATTGAATCAGAATGAATCGAAATATAAGGTATTTGCCTATCAGAATACACAGAATATCATTTATTCTATACAACATGATTACATCATTCATAACTATGGTTTAGATTAACTCATTACTAAGTTACGCAATCAGTATTACATAATTAGGCATCCATCCATACTCCGATTGACTACATGGATCATAATGAAACATAATAACTCGACAAGTAGTGTGAGTGCATAGGTATATAGAACAAATGGTATATCATTTATTGATTGATAGACAATTATGTAATACGAATCAAAATAGTGTGACACTTGTAAATTGTAAGTTATGAGAATGTCATCACTATGACACAATCATCATCATCGATTTCATCGACATATTCTATACCACGATTCATATTTTCAAATATGGACGTACTCTTTAGTGAATATAATAGCCATAATGATAATTATGACTATTTATGTTAGTAATTCGGGGTGTTGCATAATGATTATGAAGGTGTGAATGATCCATGGGTGCTTATGTGTGTGTGTGTGACCCATGTATTTGTAAAGATCACAAAACAACAATAAATATCACGGGAAATGATGGAAGATGTAGATGTCTACTGAGAATACACTACAATCGTCTGTTATGTAATCACACTACACTCATTCATTCCCTATCCTATAAAATATAATCGATTATTAGACATGGTGATTAAAATGTGTGTTGATCTGTCCCTTCATTACAGGTATAAACACACTGAAATACACTGATCATTGAAATTTGCGTGAATGTACTCATATAGTTTACACGTTGATTACATCATACCCAATGACACTATTAACGGAGTCTTTAGTATATAGAATGACCATAACGATATCTATGACTGTTTAGGTACGTATCACTTTGTGTTATGTAATGCTCAGTGACTGGTTATTACGTAATTCCATAGGTATTTACATAGAGATACGTTTATTACTGTATAATAAACGAATGAAGGAATAAATGTAATGATTACATAACTAACAAAATGATTACTTAATAATGAAAAGTGAGAGATTCGTATATCAACTCATTGAAGACAATGGTGAACGGTTGTTCAACTTCGTGGATTGGTTTAAGATAGACATTAACACCGTTGGATACCAACCGACTCAATGGTCTAGTGGTTTAGCGCTTGCAAGCGAGACCGATAGGTCCTGGGTTCGAATCTGGCGAGGAAGGATCGTAGATGCTCACTGCTGAGGAGTCCCACAATAGGACGAAACTGCCATCTAGTGCTTCCAGGTTTTCCATGGTGATCTAACTTCAATTGACTCATGATTTTAACTATAAAATTATTCTAAACACTTTGATTAAATAATCATTACGCCTATCACAAATTTAAGTTATCTAGTTGTTAATGATCAGAGTATGTTGGAGAATGCTGGTCGGTGGCCTATGCTCCATTGGGAGTAACAGGAGTAAGTAAGTAAAGTAAACTTGTTAATGATAAAGATGGAATTTTAACAAACTTGTTTTGAAATCGCTTTGATCTGTGATGAAGATTGTCTAAATACAACGATTAAGTTACAAGTTTGACACAACATTGAATTGTGGGTAGTAGTAGTATTAGTATTAGTATTAGTAGTATTAGTAGTAGTAGTAGTAAAATGTAGGATACATGTTTCAATTTATATGAACGAAAACCCATCAATTTTTGAGTCTTATGAGAAGTATTCTCATTAGGATATAGATACATTCAGATGATAGGTCTTAAATGTAATGAAATGCAGATCCTAGATTCTACTGTTATTCATTATATAATTTTATATAGTAAGGGTTAACCATATGTTATTGGATAAGATTAATCGCTATTCAAAAATTACGTTTCACAGATATTGAACAGACCAGATGGTTGTTGGAGGTAGTTAACAGGAAACCCTGAATCTAGGTTTTTTGCTACTTGGCAGTCATCAGCAAGGTGTACCTGTAATATTGAGGGAACTGATCCTCCCTGACGGATTCGATCCCATGTCACCCAACTTCACAGTCAGAGACGTTACCAATGGGCTATTCGGGCTACTGATCACTAGGTAGTGATCAATGTCATGTATGTCAGGTCCATCTCCAACCGCCATCTTATCTCAACATAATGTACTCACTTAGACTAGTGGCCACATTGTTACTTGGTCGATATGATTCGATCTGCACTCAAAAGGACCTGATACATATGAAACTGATCAACATCAAGTGATGGAGTTTTGTGCTCTGAGCTGGATGGTTTAGTTGTGGAGCTTTCATCGTCCTTCTAAACGACATCATCAGCACAAACTTCGGGTAGAAGTGAAGTGTTTCAATTTCTCTACATGTGATTCACAAATTTTACTATGCACCTCGATGTTGATTAGTTCTTGTTGACCGTACTGAATAGTCACCTTTTGTATAATACACTTTCAGGTAAATATATTGATGGAAAACATCTAACATATTCATAAATCTGAGTGATAATGTTCTAATCCTTAGAGTATTCATAGTGACCTCCTCTGAGATGAACGTTATCCCCAATG